TCTAGGCCTCCCACTTCCTGGATGACGGAACCCAGTTGGACAGGAGGAACATCTGGAGAGGTCTGGTCTGGGGGTTCACATCTGTCAGAGAGTTGAGATACCCCAGAAAACTGAGGAACCAACGTATCTGGACATGCGACCAAGCGATGAAGGTCAGAGCCAGAGCCCTTGCCTTCTCGAACTTCTCCAAAGGTGGAAGGGCTAAGCCCCGAACCGTGTCGAAACGGTTCCCCAGGAAGACGAAGTCCTGAGATGGGGAAACCTCTGACTTCTCTCTGGAAGGAATGAAGCCGACTCTGAGCAAGAGTTTCAGGACCAGACGAGTGTCCTTCACTAGCGATTCCCTCACCAAATGAAGCATGAGGGAGCGCCGAAATAGATGTGGACGTCTATTCCGCGTGAGTGAAGGAATTCCACGACCACCTGCAGCAACTTGGTGAACACCAAAGGAGCTGTCGTGAGCATTGCCCGGAATGGGATAACCCTGCCGTTGCACGTGAAACGGTGGAACTTTCGTGCCGACTTCTTGATGGGGATATGGGGGATATCTTTCAGATCTACTGAAGCTGCCCTCATTCCGTCCCTCACAGAGGCCATAATGCACCGTGTGGTCTCCATCTTGAAGTGAGGAGAATTTACGTGCCTGTTGAAGGCACTGAGATTTATGATCGGACGCCACGCCCCAGACTTCTTCCGGACCAGAAACATTCTGGAGTGCACTCCGAGATAGGCACCTCCTCTACCGCGCCCCTTTGCCTGCATGGTCCCTACATCCTTCTGGAGCGCCCGAGCCTTTTCCGCATCCCCCGGAGGGGAAAAGAAAATTGGATGGGCGGCGAGGGGCGGATTTCGATGAAGGGGGACACCTCAACCCTCCCTGACCACCGACAAAGCCCAAGCATCTTCCGTGATATCCCGCCACTGCCGGAGAAAAACGGAGAGACCCCCTTTCCCCCCCCCCCCCCCCCACTCCACAGGAAGCCCCGGGTGGGGCAGATCGAGACCCTGCCAAGCCGGAGCCTAATCCTTTGGGACAGGAACAAGAGCTTGAGACGGGAAGACAGCCGTCCACCCGACCCGGCTCTTGGTCTGCCGCGGCCAAGGAGCTTAAGACGTCAGGAACCCTTCTTTTTACCCTTCCTACCCTTCCCCTTGTTGCCCTACACCTTATTAGGAAGCGCTGACCTCTGCGAGGCACTGGCATTCTTAGTTTGAAACCTCTTCACAAGAAGTGCTTCATGCCCTTCTGTACAGAAGGAAGCGCTCCTCCGAACAGGGTGGAGCCAGAGGAGGGGGCAGTCAACAAACGGGAGATGTAGGGTTCCTCAACCGGGCGGTTTTTCAATACTGAAAACCGCCTGGTCAACACGACGTTGGAGAGCAAGGAGACCTGCAAGGCCGCCGATGCTCTCAAAGCCGTGTTCAGGGCAGAGTTGACTCTGTCCTGTATGTCGTTTATATACGACAGAATCTGGATTGAGTCCAGCTGGTCCACCGATTTGCCGGACCAGGCCGCCAGCTCTCTCGATTCCAGCTTAGCTGGTTGAGAGGTTAGTTGCCCGTCATGCGTGGCAGAAGCCTGGTCAATATCCGAGCACCCCGGAGAAAGATGAACAACATCGTCTGACTGCCATGCCCGCGCCCTTAAAATCCATCTCCTCCTGGATAGGGACCGAACCCTCTGTGGGAGAAACAGGGGCCACCGGAGGAGCCGACTCAAGAGAGTGAGGCTCTTCCATACGGCGTTTAGACGCAGAGCGCCTAATCGCCGAGGCTGTAGGCTTGGGTCTAAGACCCGAAGCCGTCCCCTGGGACCTGGAGACCGACGGGTCTGAGCGGGAGACGGAAGTCCTAAAGTTTCAGAACGCCAGGATTCCACGAGGAAAAACCCAAAGGGTTAAACCCAAACCCCTGAGGGAATGGGAATGGTCCCGCGGACTCGGAGTCTGGGGCTGGCCGCCCTGTCCGGAAAAAACATGGATGGACCGCCACCCCCACCAGGTGGACACCCACACATGTACGGGCTAGGCCCGTAACTGCTGGGATACTGCTTTTACCCAAAACCATCCGCAGGCTGGCCAGGGCGGCCTAGTGTTGAATGCCCGAAGGCAACAGTATACCTTTAGCTCGGGGGAAACAACCCTGACAAGAAATCTTTGGCCCCATAACCAGCACTCGAAAGTACTTGTCCGGAGTCAAGGCGGCCCCAACCAACAACACCACCTGGCGCGCCGGGATCACTTTTGACCCTCGACTGCGCCGAGTCAGGGCAGGCTGTCACCCCCTACTCCAAGGCGCTCATGAACAGGGGGGACCACCCCCTGCTCGAGGGTGGAGCTCGACGAGACGAGAGCATCCCCGGCAGGAACGCCAAAAACACTTACCGGTTCAGAACCGGAGGCAGAGGACTTAAAAAGCTTACTTCCCTTAACGGAAGAAGAGAACGTATCCCTCTTCTGGCGGGAAGTTCGCCGGACAGGCATGGGAACTTTGGCAGCAGACTCCGTGTGCAAACGATGTTCACACGGCGAGGTCTGGTTGCAAGGTCGGCAAAGGGGACAGGCATCATGGGGGTCCCGTTCTCCATAGAAATGGGATCACCTATGCGCTGACCCCCGACGTAACCCGGCACTATCCATCATCGAAACAAAAAATCGTTACAACGAAAACAAGGACACGAAGTTTTCTAACAATAAAAAAACTACGAAGGAAAGTACAAAGCCTACCGCACGAAGCAAGAGTGCACTGCAAAAAAAGACAACGGTCGTACAAACCGGCCGATGAAGCAGCAAGAATCAACTTCACAATAATCCGAACGACGAGACACCTGGTCACGCACTCGAACACGTGGAGGAAAACACGGCCGGAAATACGGTCAAAATAAACAAATGACAATACTTAATTTCACAATATAAGTTGGGAGATGGGTTTATAGACTACGAAGAGAGTAACAATATACTCAAACAACAATAGCAGTACGAGGAGAAGGAGTAAAAAAAGCACTCAGCTCAGACACCTCCGCACTCATCGGCAGCCATAAAGGTAAGAGGAAGGGAGATCACTCTATGTACCTGTCGTGATGGCTCATGGATCGTAGGGAGGACGGGATTGTTTGAATCTTTTGTTGTTGGGATTCAAAGATGGGTGTAGGTACTGTATTTGCATACTAAAGTTATGGTAAATATTACTGAAATGAAATATACTTTCGTTTACATTTCAAAGTGATTAGTATTTGTCCTCTATGTTAAGGGGAAGAACGTATTTGATGTCTCAATATAACTCCGAATCTACATATTGACAATACCGATGAAATACGTATGACTGAAAGTTACCGCCATAATTACAAGTGGAAAGTATTGTAATAGTGTACCTATCTAAGAAATTGTATGTTTCCCCATAAGTAACTAAAAGTTGATAGATACTGCAAAATATGTTTTGCAACAGCTTCTTTCTTTATTGAGGCAAAGTTGTAGTGTTACCGTGGTTGGTATTATGACTGACCAGTGACGAACTATATGAATCACCATCACCCCTTCCAACCCGCACACTTAACACTCTTGGTATCTCGTCACCAGATCATTCTGCATTGCGAAACTATGTTTCAAAAAATCTCAAAATAAATTTATATTTGCATTAACCAAGTGTTAGTGGTATAATGTCTATTTTCTTCATTTTTTTCCAGGGCCGCTAAAATATTCAAGTGTCCGTCGTACGCATTCATGGTAATTAATTCTAAGAGAAGTGCCCACTAGAAAAGATATTGTGTCGTCCATTTTTACTACGACGTGTAGTAATATTAAAGACCGTTGGAAATATGATAAGGCTGACCAATCAAATTTGCACGAGAGTTTATATAACTAGTTACATTTACAAAAGATATTTCTCCAATTCATTACGTACCAACCTAAGTATGTAATAAAACCATATGTAGATAACTCTTTTGAACGACAGAAGACTATCCTCTGCTTACGTACGGCACGTTACGACTGAGTTTGGAAAAATACAAAGATCACTTAGCAGATCATTGACGTTAATTTTGCCACAAAACAACATAAACATTTCCAAGTCTACACTTCCGCTTTGTAAGTTGTGCTTGAATGTCAATGCCGATAAAAAGACGAATATGATGGATTGTAACCGCTGTGCTGGACATTTTTGTACCAGATGTCTCAATATGGATGATCGTAAATACGCAATTTTATCAAAATCGGATGCCATGTGGTTTTGCGGGCCCTGTAGAGAAGTTGTAGTAAAGAACATAATTACCGATAGAAAAATCGAGGAACGCTGCAAAGAAATAATGGAGAACTACGAAAATAGGATATCGGAACTAGAAAGATTACTAAACGAAAAATGTGATACAGAACAACTGAATAACGTGGTGAAAAGGGAGATAAGAACGAACATGGATGAAGTAATTTCAGAAATGAACGAGAGAAGATCCAGAGAAAAAAATCTAATAATATTCGGCATCCCGGAACAGCAAAATGAGAACGGAAAGGAAAGAATGAAGGCAGACAAAATAGTGCTACAGGAAGTGTTTGATTCTTGCGGTTGCAGAGGAATTTCGGTAGACAATTTGTTTGAGAAAGTCGTCAGGATCGGAAAAGTACCGCCACCGGAAGAAAATCAATCGGATCAGGAAACAAGAAGACCTATTCTAGTCAAACTGAAACCGGAGGTAAAGAAGAAAGTTATATTCAAGAACATAAAAGGATTGAAAAATCAGCAACAATTTTCAAAAGTCCAAATTCGGAACGATTTAACAAAATACGAAAGAGAGATGGAAAAGGAATTGAGGGCGGAAGCCAACAGAAGACAGATTGATGAAACGGAAAACTTTGTACATCGGGTTCGCGGGCCGCCATGGGCTAGACATATCGTCCGTCTTCCTGGAACCATATAGACAGCAAAATTGTGTTACTGTTTAATACGGATATATTTTACAATCTTTTTCATTTTCCTATAATTAGTATGATAGTACCCACAGACTAGATAGATCATTCTTCAAAGCAAATATTAGATATGGATATAGAGGCATAACATTTTGCCTGCATCCATAAATCACTTATCTTATCTTATTTTTTTCTTAATAGGATGATTACACTTACAACGAAAGATTATACCAAATTAGCCTTCCAAACTCCTTCTACCTTGTGGTACAATTTTCCATACAGGAGAGACCCTTCACCCCTTCCAACCTGCACCCTTAACCCTCTTGGTATCCCATCACCAGATTATTCTGCATTGCGAACACTGTTTGGCGACAGTTTCTCTCGTTATGGAGGGTAACAGATATAGTGATGTCTTGGTATATACATATGGTGGTAAACCATATATTGGCATAAGCTTACAGCCGTTAAAAGTGGAGGACGAGCGTTAAGCAGGAGAGATTCTTCTTGATAAAAAAAATGATAAACAAAATTACAAACATGTCTGTCTTTAACGGATAAAAGATATCACAAAATAGAGACTGTTTATGGACGTGCTATAACCAACTTGCCGCTAAATTACCCTCCAAATGATTATATCACTCGATGTATTGGAAATCAACTTACCAGTGTTAATGCATGTATATTGGACTGTCAGATATTTGTATGTTCCCCTACAGGGATCTCCGAAAACTGAGTTAGAGGCCGCGAGGACACACGTATCCCTTCCATCGCACGCTTCTCTCACCTTCACCATGGAAGACTTGGATTCACACTTTACATTCCACATTTTGAAATGTAAGCACACGAACCTCGATTTACGACCATATAAAGCCGATGTGATTTTTATTGTCTTCCCTGCGTCACACTTGATTGTCATCGTCTTCCCTTCACACTGCACTTCTGTACGAATCTTCACCTCTGAGAACAATGAAAATAGCAGTAATTTCACAAATTCAACATGATATACTACTAATATTTTGCTAAGGGGTAAAAGCTTTGAGGGTATTCCTAAACTATGATTATTGATTTTGTTCATAATAGGATTGTCTTTTGACTTAATGAAGTGTTCTATTTATTCATTGGCATAAAATGTGAAAATCTTGTTAATCGAAATCTTGTGCATTGCGAACTATGTTTGACGACAGTTTCTCTCGTTATTGAAGGTAACAGATAGAGTGATGTGTTGGTATACACATATAGTGGTAAACTATATTTTGGTATAAGCTTACAGCTGTTAAAAGTGGAGGACGAGCGTTAAGCAGGAGAGATTTTTCTTGACAAACAAAATGATAAACAAAATTACAAACATGTCTGTCTTTAACGGATAAAAGATATCACAAAATAGAGACTGTTTATGGACGTGCTATAACCAACTTGCCGCTAAATTACCCTCCAAATGATTATATCACTCGATGTATTGGAAATCAACTTACCAGTGTTAATGCATGTATATTGGACTGTCAGATATTTGTATGTTCCCCTACAGGGATCTCCGAAAACTGAGTTAGAGGCCGCGAGGACGCACGTATCCCTTCCATCGCACGCTTCTCTCACCTTCACCATGGAAGACTTGGATTCACACTTTACATTCCACATTTTGAAATGTAAGCACACGAACCTCGATTTACGACCATATAAAGCCGATGTGATTTTTATTGTCTTCCCTGCGTCACACTTGATAGTCATCGTCTTCCCTTCACACTGCACTTCTGTACGAATCTTCACCTCTGAGAACAATGAAAATAGCAGTAATTTCACAAATTCAACATGATATACTACTAATATTTTGCTAAGGGGTAAAAGCTTTGAGGGTATTCCTAAACTATGATTATTGATTTTGTTCATAATAGGATTGTCTTTTGACTTAATGAAGTGTTCTATTTATTCATTGGCATAAAATGTGAAAATCTTGTTAATCGAAATCTTGTGCATTGCGAACTATGTTTGACGACAGTTTCTCTCGTTATTGAAGGTAACAGATAGAGTGATGTGTTGGTATACACATATAGTGGTAAACTATATTTTGGTATAAGCTTACAGCTGTTAAAAGTGGAGGACGAGCGTTAAGCAGGAGAGATTTTTCTTGACAAACAAAATGATAAACAAAATTACAAACATGTCTGTCTTTAACGGATTAAAGATATCACAAAATAGATACTGTTTATGGACATACTATAACCATATGTAGATACCTATTTTGAACGACAGAACACTATCCTCTGCTTACGCACGGCACGTTACGATTGAGTATGGAAAAATACAAAGATCACTCAGCAGATCACTGACGTAAATTTTGTCACAAAAAACATAAACATTTTTTTGTGAAATCATTATTACACTTACAACTATCAAAACCCAAACGCTGTACTCTGAGAAACAGATCACCAAGCCTTAAACAATTAAACAGTTCAACATCTCTTAAAACAAGTGAAAAGTTTACTGTCAAGTTTTATCATCAATTATTTCTTGCTTTGACGATATGCTAACTTAATTTTGGAATCCCTGTTGTAACAAGAAAAATATGTGTAGGCTAATCTTGTCAAAGACAATGTTTCATTATTTTGCAATATAAGAGATAGAAGCGAGATATCCATTTAGCTACGAAGATTATTTTTGATTATCTAGCCTGAAGTTTCCCCATTTATGCTACAGGTCCTATATCATCGATTTCACTTATTTTTTTAAAATAAATAAAGGTATCAGAGAAAAAGTATTCACTATTATCTAACATTATTCTACTTAATATCCTAATTATAGTAGAAATTACCCTGATCATACTCACTTTTAATATGGCCATCAGCTTTTGAAATACCTGGAAAGACATGTTGACATATTGATAAAATTTAATTTGGCATACACCTTGCAAAACAAACATTTGAAATAGTGATACCAATAACAGTTTTTAAAACTCGATTTTCTATCTAAAAGTAGTATTTAATCAATATATTTTAATACTAACTGAAACCATAATTTTTCAATATATAAATGACATCACACAGCAAAATATATACGAATTACTTAGTATTGATTGCTCTATTGATAACCATCATTCTCTAGAATTATTAGTTGCTCATAAGTTTCTCAAAATGTAAATAACAATATATCATCCGAAGAATCAGCGAGTTGTAAAATTGTTTTCGCAAATGTGTTTGACAGAAGCGAGTTAATGTTAATGTTAACTGAAGATAAATTACAAAGCACATACATACTCAAGAGAACAGCGATAAGGTAAATATAACATATCGGAGCCATAATCGGCCTAAAAAGCATTTCAGAAATAGAATATTATTTATTCCTTCAAAGCTTTTATACTCAATTCAAATACAGCATATGTTAATTTCTCCACATGTGTCGATCAATAAAAAAACAAATAAAAAGACAAACTCGTAATTTTATACGTGCCTTGAAATTGTATTACGCAAAGGTGCAACTCGAAGTATATGATGAAAATCATTAAATAAGAATCCATATAAAAATAATGCTATTTTATGATAATGACCAGAACAACTGTACAACAACGGATACGAGCACAGCTTGACCAAAGTAGATGATCTCACCACATGGGAACATAGAATAAGGTTTACTTGTCGAAATATAGGCTATTTAATTTTCCATTCGAAGTAAGAGTTGCCTCCCTTTACGAAAAGTCCTTTGTAAGTTTCACTTTTTTAATATTAATAAATCACAGATGATGATCAATACCTATATCTTCAAAGTATGCTATCAATATTTTAATGGGTATTATAATCATTATTATGTATATTGCAAGACATTTCTTCATTGTTAAATAAATGGTGAAACTAAGCTAATATACTAGTACCCTCCGTTCTGGAAAAGTGTCTTTTTGACTGATTTGCATGGACCTTGAAACAGGCGTGGTGGGAAAGATAGGACCATTGTGTACATGTTTCCACTCGAATAATTACAAAAAAGAAAATTTTGATATGATGCATATGTTATACAGGCATGGGCTAAAATGCATTTAACAGATAATAAGTGTTTTCTTCTAAATTTTCAATAAACCCGGAGAAGTTAGACATTTCAGATATAGTAATACATGAATACTAGTTAGCTTGAAATAATAATAGTTATAACAATAAAATGGTCGATAAAATTGTAACTTGCAAATCTTTAAAACCTTGCAAAATGGCATACATGAAATCGTCAAATATACTGGTACTATTGGTTAAAGCAACAAACTTAAACCCTTGAATAATTGGTCGGTTGAACTTTTATCGAAGTACGGCATTATAGCTTCAGACCTGTTGATTTGATTAAGAGAAATCTCTATCACCAATTTATTTTGATTTTCAAGCTCATATTGCTGAATCGGTCGAGAAGGGAGATCATTCTTGATGTTATACTTGACCAAATATTCCATTATTTCCTTACAGCTTAGGTGTACTGCATGAGTAGATTTGTGCGTTTTTGTTGAGCATACTTATTTGATTATGATACAGATACAGATGCTCCTGTCGGGGCTATATGTGGACCATTCCAGAGGATGTTTGCCGTGAGAAAATCACGACCGACTATGGCAACATGCTCTCGAGCATTGTCTTGCTGGAAAATTAGATCACGACGTTTGAGGAGTGGAAAGATATGTCGTCGGAGGATCTAGCCTCTGTATCGAACGTTATTGGGGTTTGGATCCAGGACACTTATGGATGATTTTTAGTCAATGGGAGATGCCTCTCCAAACCTTTGCAGCAGCCCCATAAAATCTATCGCGTTCAACCACGCACGCGTCGGCGAAACGCTCACCGCGTCTGCGATATACCTTTTCCGCCGCCGCATCACAACCCTATTCGGGCCATGTTTGCGCATCAATGCGATAGCAGTTTGACTACGACCATTCATCAACATCGCAATTGCTCAACCCATCTTTTATTGCGTTAAGCGTGGCATCTCGGTCAATGTTGAAATCAAAATACCAACTTGAAAATTAATGTGGCTGACCTTGGCTTGATCACGCCGCATGATTTGGACTTAAGAAGCTCACAAAGTCAGACAATGACTTTGCCACATTTGATTGATTTTAGGGTAAATAGTCGAGAAGGGAGATCATTCTTGATGTTATACTTGACCAAATATTCCATTATTTCCTTACAGCTTAGGTGTACTGCAGGGGGAGCTTTATGCGTTTCTTTTTCTGTTTTAGTATACTTATTTAATAAGGAATCTTTATGATCATCTATTTGCTTTACATACGTCTGCATTGCCAACAAGTGATCATTGTTTTATTTTCTCATGTATTGTGAAGCACTGCACGTCCTTTCAAGGTGTGTGTAATCCTGCCTGCAGTACGGGCTGGTGCATTTAATTCAAATGTGTACTTATTGACATCTGGTAAATAATGAAATCATAATCCCTGATCGAAAATACAGTGATTCATAATCATACCATGTGTAGACGTCTGAAACTAAGCGCGATTTCTTTTCAACATTGAGAGGATTTGAAACATATGTCCGTATCACTTATCCATAGCTATGATTAGAACTTTTGAACACATTTAGGTTTTCATATCACAATTGTCGATTTCGAGGGAATTTAGTTGTTGCCGCGTGCACTCTTGTGGGTACGACAAACTATGCAAATGATCGGCATATTTGTGAAAATAGTGAAAATCCTTTTGATTAGTTGGTATTTCAATATTATCTTGCATATATTTTGAGCGACATCATTCCTGATAAAATGATTCAAACGATTTTGTCGCCCGTAATTACTTAGAATATCCTCTGACAACGCTAATATCAGCCTACCTGAGCGTTTGTGAGACCCAGCATGGCGGCAAACTGTCGTCTATCTGGTATTCCACTTCCTTTATCTGTAAATTATGTTATGTCAACAATAACATAAGGAAATGCGACGTAGTTGTATGAAAAGCTGTTTTTGGAAAATTTAAGTGCTTTATAATATTTTGACGAGTAATTAACCATAAATGTTATATACATAACATACTGCAATAACCACAATACGAAAAGTGTAAAAATAATTATAAGTTAAAATATGTACAATTAAAGTACGTAAATATTGATGTGAAAAAACAGGACAGAGAAAAAACTTATTGAGAGACAATGAAATGTTGTATGTTCGTCGTTTAGGAAGAAATAAAACACGCCTCTAGTACTATAGTGGCGTAATTTTAACAATCCTATTAATTAAGGTTGCGTCAATCTAATTCCAGGTAAGTATTACAAGTTTATGTCACCAAGGCTACATTAATAAAAAATAATATATCGACATATCGCAATTATTACATAGTGTTTACAGACCGGTCAAGTTGTTTTTGATCGAGATCAACGATATTTCACTTACATTTCTCTAGCAGTAATCATAATTAATACATTTTTAGTTAGTACGCCTGGTGGTTCCGCCCGGTGTTGCTAGCTTTGCTCTCATTTTTTGAATATGACATTACCTTCATCGAAATAAAGCGGACCATCTCATATTCCCCGTCTCTTTCATGTGTCTCAGTGTAAATGTTTCTTTTGTTCTTGTTTTAAACGTATGATGACTTACCGGTATTGTCATTTGTTTTGGTACCTTCCTCACTCGACGAATTGCGCTCAAATATGGTTGTACTTACAACATTTTCTGCATGTCGTTTATATAACAATAACTTTAAGTGTACAAATTCTTCATAACAGTCATTTGTTACAAAAATAATAATGCGTTTGGATTTGATTATGCCATACTGTATATGATTGATTAAAATAGCTCAGGCTGATCTGTCGTAAAGATAATCGTTATATGTTAACAAAAACTCATTTAACAGTCGCTGTAGTGGAAAAAATGATGTTTAATTTATGTCTGGGATTTTCACGTCAAAAAGTGAATTTGATGGCGGAAATATGTCATAATACCATGGAACAATACGCCTGTGTATCAATAGCTGCTGTCCTTAGCAATATAAAATAAAGAATCCCTCGTTAGCGATGCTACGGGCCTACAATGTTGAAACTTAGACAGCGACTGAGGGAAAATCAAATTGTTCGAAAGAGTAAAAACAGAAGATTCACTAGTCCCTAATTTCAATCAATTCACGACTTTGATTTAAAAAAATTAATCATTTCACTTCTTCTCTTGGTGCATTTGAGTCTAACTCATACCGAAAGATATTATCAATTGGTGGGTTTCTTCAACATGATTTTGTGTCCTGATCATTAAATCGTGGCTTTGTACGCTTTTCGGCATTTTTTATATCCTGTTTTTGTACGACAATGATTACATATACACGTTCCCTCTTTAATCAACATGATTCCTATGTTCGTATGTTTTGTACATACAACGATGTAGTTGTTTTGTATGCAATGTGAGAACAATATGTTCCATTCTTCATATTTTATTGACAAATCAATATACAACTATTCTTATAATTCGGTGTTGTAAGAGATAAGAGAGTAAGAGATCATTAATTATGCAACTTTGTAAACGTTTTTGGAACAACGAACTACATCAAATTCCTGAACAGAATTTTGCTGATGAGAAAGAAAACTACAATTTGTTGTTATTGTTGGCATTTGTTTTTATTAAACAAGGATAAATATCGTATAACAACATCTTCATAAATATGTAATAAAGACTTTCATTTCCTATTTATTGTCGCTTGTTGTAGGCATTTCGTTGTCTTCGTCGCTATCATCAGAATTATCAGAACACATTGACTTGTTACATCTATCGACTATTATGTCACTTCCTGTTTCACATTCTGCGTCTGGAAGTGATCCGTCTTTTTCTTTCTGTTGTTGCGCATGTCGCCATTTCATCCTTCTATTTTGAAACCAAACTTTGACCTGAAACAAAACAAACAAATATATCAAAGATATGATAAACATAATAAAACACCCAATAAACAAACCATAGTTCATAACGAATTATTCATACTATTAATTGTTTTTTTAAGTAATATTGAAAGCACCATACATAATATCAGGTAACACATGTCGCTGTGAAATTATCAAAAGTGTCCAACGTTCTTTGAAACTTTATTTTTCTGGCTTGTTCGAGTTATCTCCCATTAACACACTATTGATATCGTCAACTTTCCTTTACCATCGCAAACGCTGATATGATTCTATGATTCTAATATGGTAATGTCTTAATTAAGAAAGATGTTTTTAAAACAGAACAGAAATAGCTTTTTTATTTTATTTTCATCGAATATTGTAGCATTTCAGAACAAGCGCCGTCACAGACGGGTTATGCTCCCCGATTGGGACAAATATTAATTTTTGAAAAATAATAAAGGGCAAGAAGAGAGTTATGATACTTGTGCATAGCCCTCCTACTCATTGATACCTATCTACATAGGAAATTTCACGTTGATACCTTATATATTTTAGTGTAACGCAGAGGACAAAATTTAAGAATGAAAAGGGTATCAACTCCTCAATTATTCAAAAGAGGGTGATGGTTCTTTTGCACTACACTTTTCCTTGCTGATACCGGGACAAAATTATGACGGACGGACGCACGGACGGACAAAGCAGCGACAACATGCTCTCCTTTCGACGGGGAGTATACAACTGTGACGAGCTGAATTAGAAAATAAGCCAAATGAAGATGTGAATGTTGCCTTTCTTTAAAGAATATGACTGGAAAATTGAAAAAAAAGAAGAAAATTATATCATGATTTTATATTTTGATATTTCATCAAACATGATGATATAAACGTGCAAACCACCCTGACATTGACAGTAGCTATGGTTACTACTTGTGTTTCATCGCAGCCATCATGGTCTCATTGTGACATATTTGTTGTCATGCGAAAATCAAATAAAATGTAATAATATTTGCACATTGCTTTGCTGCTTTATTTATAAAACAGATATTTTAGACGTATATTTGGTTCGTTTTCTGAGTTGGCCTAGATATACCTTATTACCAAAAGAACTAATCCTTCATGATTATATTGTCTTATTTACCTTGCTTTATCTATTTTGACTTTGTTGGTATTTCAATATTATCTTGTATATATTTTGAGCGACATCGTTCCTGATAAAATTATTCATGACTTTTTGGTAATTATGGTAATTACTTCGAATATCCTCTGACAACGCTAGTATCAGTTTACCTGAGCGTCTGTGAGACCCAGCATGGCGGCCAACTGTCGTCTATCCGGTTTTGTGACGTATTTCTGTACTTCGAATCGCTTCTCCAGTCCCTTTCTCTGTAGGTTTGAAAACACGGCACGTGACCATGATCTTTTCCGTTTTGATTGGCTACATCCATTACCATCGTCATTGAGAATGGAGTACGGACCTACTTGTTAAACAAAGAAATACATAATTATTCAAATAAAAAATGAGAAATCAGATGGCCAACTTCAAGCTAATTATTAATCACTAGACATATCGGTATACCTACATCATTTTCTCGTTACTTAGATACAAACTGATGTATTGGCCATGGAAGAATAACCACCACATACCTGCATTACCTAACTTACTGGTTTTATCAACTTTCAACATTTCATATTTCTTCAGTTTTAGATATTCTGTTATAATCAACAAACTATGAATTAATTGTATTATTTTCATATTACGACATTCGAAGTATCTACCCAACAGAAAAAAAAACGCGCGAAATAAAATGAAAGTGAAAACACCTTCAATACCATAGTTTATACGAGATCTTTCATTTTCCGATTTTCTTGTGAGAAGAATCAAATTGAGTTTTATCGATTTGCTTTGAAAGCCTTCCATTGTAAGATAAATTGTAGCCGTACAATGAATTCATTACTGCTTCATTAATTCATTGTCAAATTATCTCAGAGAAGTACCATTTAATGTGTTTTTAGTGAATGATCATCACCTTTGACGAATCTTTTCAAGTGAAAGTTTATAAATGGCCATCGGTTATAACAACGGTTTTTAGGTTATTTATGATCATTAGTTACAATTAAGGTCTTGGGTTAAAGTTATACTTCAAATGTTTTCAGATGTGGTATGCGCTCTTCTAAAAAAGCAAAACCGTCAGAACGATACGGATAGGTTTTTAAACATTGTTTAAGTATGATTTATCTTATGGCACAAACTGATACAGTTTGGCTGTCAATCTGAATCAAATTGCTTATCAAATTAAAATTTAATACAGAGCACTTTTGTGATTCATTTTATTTTCAAATTTTTCTATTTTTGTTTTTCATATCAATTACTTTTTTACACTAAATTATACATTCATCAACTTTTATTTGTATCGTAAATAATGTTACAACGACAATAAGTAACAGAGTTGCCTAATCAAAATCATATCCTAATTGTGATCTTACAATCATGGGGAAATTAATATAATGTCCGAGTAGATACCTTTGTGATAGTTGTATTGATTTAAGATAGAGGAATTAGTTTAAATGAATTGATATCGACATACTCTAGAAACATTCTTTGATAGAAATGTACACTTAGTATTGTTGACAACATAGCAACCATCTTATTTATATGACTTATGTAATACACACCATTTAATATACATAGTTTGCGAATTTCATTTGATAGTTTCTGTTTATGTCCGGATGTATATATTTTTTCATAATGCCGATGTTTACCATAATTACGATTGAGAACTAACCGGGAAGTGAGTCGACAGAGTGTGACATTGGATACGTTGGAGGTTGGATGGCGTGGACAGCCGATAACGAGGCTGACGGAAAGGACATCCGGGTATTGATATAGTTGGATGTAATAGTTCCGCATCCACATGATATCCGGTTGTCAGGGCCAGAGATGTCGCCATGTTGTTTTTCTCGGTTTTCTGTAAAAGAATCGTTAAAAACCCCATTATTTGGCAATTTACCTGTGTAACAATACCTTAACTTGCATTGCTACAATGTCAGTACAGCATATATGATATATAATTTACTTGTTTTATTCTCATTACGATTCGCATTAAAATTTATAGCAATTTCATCGATTTTTCAAATCCATACTTGGCTTATCTGGCGTTAGCTATTGTGTTTGCTCACTGAGCAGAAAGGTCATCCAAGACCTCATTCATCTATTTATTATTGTTATATAATCTTAGATGCCTATTCTTCTTTCTCTTCTAGCAGGTAATTAGTGTCGCACTGACTGACCTCACTAAAGTACAAATCATCCAGCTTTTTAATGCAATTGGTTTAACACGAGTTTCCTGCTTAACGTTGTATAGGACATAGTTAGCTAAAACTAAATAAATTAAACATACATGGGTAAATAAAAACAAAAACAAAAAAACAAGAAATACCAACATGTCAATATAATCATAATTCAAACTCAAATTCCATATCACTATGTCAAAATATGAACAAAAGAAAGATTTACACGGAGACTCCTGAAAAAGTACAAGGAGAATACGACAAAGTATTCCGGAAGAGTAAGTTTCTTATGCTCCATCGACGTCACCAGCCATGTAAACCTTCGTAAATCAAGGTGTGTAAAGTCACCTTCTCAAATGAGAACAAAATATAAAACAACGGAACCAACAGACAAACTGACGCAGCAAAGACGTCCAGTTTCAGAAAAACAATATTTCTCAATTAGTTCACTATGTCGACCATACAACTTCCCCATAATTTTCATCAATCTGCATATTTTGAACACATGTGTTTCTCAATCAGTTGACGACTTCTTGCGTGATAATTGGAACAGATAATTGAATATCGAATCAATTGTGACATGTAAATACCATAGGTTGGAGATGTAGTAATTTTGCTATCCAGAAATGGAAAATTCTCAATAAGGAAATCATCCTTAAAAAAAGTCCTACCAATGTCGGTTTGAGGAAAACTGTTCAAGTCAAACTTGATTTGCTGTAGTGTTAGAGAGATATAGGCAGTGTCCTAACTTTCATGTTTATACACCCCTGACATTAGCTAATGTTAAAGAATAATTATCATATAAATTTTGTTTATGAACATAAAGTTTTAATTCATTTCCAGTAGAAATACTTTTAAAATTCTATTAAGAAGAGATAATCCAACTTGCGTCATTGTAAAATGTTTGATAAGTATAGTTATTTAATACTGAGATTGTTGCACTTCTCCGTCAAGGTTTTGACTTTCCTTTCCATCATTTTGAATTTTCCTCAGTCGCCTACCATGCTTCAATATGTAGGCCTTTAGCATCACTGGCCGTTCCTAGAAAGACGAAACAGCTGTATGATGCAGTTTACTTCATTGTTTGTGTCTACTGTATCTGACTCCAAATCATTAAAAAGTGCTATTCACTTGAATATTTTTTGTACGGAAAGTGTACTGATATATAAAACAAAAACATATAAGTATCTAGGATAAAAAGATTGGTCAAAGACTAACAGCTAAATAACATTTTTCAATGCAAATCTCGTATTAGATACAATAGAGCCAAATGATTAATTACACTGCATCATACAACGTGTCAGATCTATTTACTTACATACAATTATGTGTATAAGTCAGTCAACATAATTGGATAACAGTGAACATATGGGCAGAAATGTCATACTTGCTATTTCGACCAACCAGCTATGGTCCTTAAAATACTCTTAGCATTGAAATAACGCTAAATATAATTACAAGTGTATATCGATTACAAATTCAAACAGTTGATAGGAAAGATGTATGGAAATGAATAAAAAAAATTGCATAATTTAAGCTAATTACTGTGTCCAAAAAGTCGGATCCCTTTTAACGTTCATGACAGGTAATCCATTTAACTATTAACTTCAGTATTTTTTTCATAATATGCAGAAAAGCTATTCATATTAATCACTATGCCAAGGACTGATGGATAAATTGTTTTATTGAAGCACGTGTTGTATATAAAATAATATTTAATATAAACAACAGACTCACGTAACACCATTGTATTTATTATTGATATCTTGTCGTTATTGGCAATCCGTTAAGGTAACTATGATGTCGCTTCTTAGCATCACTGACGAGTAATAATCGGATTGAACAGCAGTATGATGTAATTAACTACATTTCCAAGCGCTGCTGATAGACATGTATTGTAAGTTAATATGTGTATGTCTTCTGAACAGTCTTCATGTCCAAAGACTAACATTACGCATCTGTTGGTGTCAGTCTGAATCTGGTCACTATCTCGATCTTATTTGCTGTCAAATTTAACTTCATTAGAAATAACACAGCAAAAAATAGTTCTTTAAAAGGCATTTATTACTGAAATTAAATACCGATAGATACATGTGTTTACTTATTCTGATAGTAAATGTATCAATGACTTGCTTTTCAACCATGTTCCTCTTTAACACTAATTGATAAAACTCGTCAGGTCAAGGTCGAAATCCAGGTAAATAAAGGTTGAGAAAAGCTGGAAATAATCTGACATTTATGTAATAAAAAATAAAAAAAAGGGACGAAGTTCGACAGAGACATCATAAGTTGAAAGCAAAAACATGTAATAGATAAATCTTAAAATTGGATGAGAACAATAAGGTTAGTAATTTTTATAATAATGGAAAGTTCATGAATTATTTCGTAACTGACGTTCCGGTGTCTTAATCAACACTACTGAGGTCGTTTATCTAGCATTACAGTCAAATTTAGCAGTGAGGAAACAACACAAATGATGATCTCCCTCATTTGTTAATTTATTTGTGATTTAAATAATGTTAGTTTGGGGAGAAAGAAATATCGAACGTTGATATAAACCAACGGAATTTGCCATTGTCAATAACAAAACCAATAAAACATATCGATACGTCAGCAGATTCTTAGCTTACAAAATCTTGAAAATATTATGTAAGCATGTCATATTGATTCGACGAGTATTGCCTCAATTTCGGAATCAATCTTTTGCTAAAAATAAAAAATAGATAAAGAATGAGAGAAAATGAGCAAATCTCGATTAAAACATCTCGAGCCGAACTTCACCTGACTTTGTGTTGATAAAGTTATTATATTTTATGGCACATCGACATTTAAGTTCTACATAATGTCAAAGATTGTACAAAAGACTCATATCGCACATCACATAGTATACATCACGTTTCAAAATATATAATTAATAAGAACAGAGGAAAATAATGCATTTGACATACTATTTCCCAACTTCTTCCTAAAGTGTGTGTACAAACTACTATGCTCAACTTGAACATGTTTCTCATCGGACATTCAACTAGTTCCGATATGTTTTAGTAAGATGTTCGAAGACATAAGGAATATACTTATACACTAAAAGGTGATATATTTTAGTTAAACAAAAAGATATGGCTTGTTAATGAAATAGTATTTAATCTGCTGTAACAGGTAATATGCTTTGTTAGACTAGTTCAGTATTAATGTTTTGATTGTATTTTATGTGAAGTGTAAACTAAATGTTCGAAACGTGTTGAAAATACTTCACTGATCAAAGTATTGGCTAGTAAAGAAGACTATGACAGTATATATTATGTTTTAAATCGCCATCCAGAATGTTGCTTTGTAAAATAATGTAGATGATTATTGATAAGTCTGATATCTTCTTATATTGAGCATTTATGAAACTTCTACTCCTTGCAGACGTGAACTAGCAGCAACTTTCTATTACAAATGAAATTTCTCTACAAAATAAAGTTATCAGATAAATAAAAATTTAAGAAGCCATTGAAATACCCTTTCATGTATGTATGGTATATAACGGCGCCAGGTGTCACCAACGTCATACATTATGGTGTCAATGGTGTCTTTGCGCATGACACGTAAATGCACTCACGTGCAATCAACTTTCTAGTTAAGTTAGTACAATAGCCAAATAATTGATAAAACAGCATCAAACAGGTGTTTCTACTGTTTTTGTTCAGAGAAAATAATGTAGAATTCAAGAATATGGGCCTAGAAATTTAAATGAACCGATGCGTTTCCCTATGATTTTTATTAATTGATTTAGAGGAGACTACATAAAAAGAACATTTTCTGGATCTATTGTTCGTAGCAATATAAATTATCTCAAAACCAAAAACACGTGTATAAAAACAAGGCAGTGATAGAAAATTAGAAACCGTGACACTATCTTACGACAAACAATAACATTTGCCATAATAAATACCTCCGTGTTGATATTGATAACACATTTACTGTTAGTCTTCCATAATAAATTATAAATACCTCCGTGTTGATATTGATAACACATTTACTGTTAGTCTTCCATAATAAACTATAAATACCACCGTGTTGATATTGATAACACAATTACTGTTAATCTTCCATAAAAAATTATAAATACCACCGTGTTGATATTGATAACACAATTACTGTTAATCTTCCATAATAATTTTTTAAAACCTCCGTGTTGATATTGATAACACATTTACTGTTAATCTTCCATAAAAAATTATAAATACCTCCGTGTTGATATTGATAACACATTTATTGATATAGTTTGATAAATGGATGAATTCACATATCCTTTGGGTAAATCCGCCCCTGCTTTGTTCTATAGCTAAGTACTCATATAACAAGTATGTACGTAAATCTCATGGTTCAGTATCTGGTGAACCTGTTTTCTTTATATTTTCCCTTTTTTATATTCCCCGTGTATTTTAACTCATGCCATGTATCAATATCACCCCTCCCCATTTCGATATTACCTGGGCACAGTTTATTATAACTATGTGTTTTGTTTACATATATATATTATGTATGATTTATATTAAAGTCCAGTTGTTCTGCAGTTCGTTTGAAGACTAATAAAAATGAAAAGCAGACTAATGTCATTGATGTGACACCGTCTACAACAGAGCTAGCTTGTAAACGTTGGAAAAAAGGCGATTGTTTTATATTCAAAACAGATTTCGTGAAAAAAATGTAAATTCTTAGAGTTATTTTTTACATGAAAATAATTATATTTAATGATAACCTATCACTATTATAACTGAATTTTAACGGACTTTCTTTAAACTTTGACGAAATTTTATATCCATGAAATAATCAACGTGTACTTCCTCACCTTTCTCTCTCGATTTCCTGCCAAAATCTTCCGATAAAATTCTGTTGATTCCAAACTTAAGATGTTTGGACTGTCCCGCCACCCCTGGGACTCGAGATTCGCTGTTCCTCCTCTCATCTCCGTCCGTCACAAATCGCTGAACCCTTTTGGTGGTACAGAAAGCTTTTAGTGGACCTAGGGCGGAGGATGATTGCTGGCACCCTGGGGGAAGAACTCCTGGTGGGTGGCATGAGAGTAGGGGCGAAGTCCCGCTATGTACATGCAATATATCCGTGATGTGAAAGGATGGTTTCTTTGTAGAAAAATTCAAAAGTCCGGCATCGTGAAAATAATTGTGTGTCCACATACTGAAGTCTGGGTGATACTCCGGACAAACTAAACCGCCGAGAGTGTACATGTCTTCGGGACACCTCCAGCCGCGTCACTCCTTCACTGTGAGCTCCTCCCCATCATAAACGTGTTGTCAAGAGGGGAGGGTTTAATGTGATAAATACCTATACAATCTGACACCCATATGTGTCTTATTTGATTAGGAGCGAGTTAGAAAAGGGGAGGGGTGTAAAAAATTTGGGGAGGGGGAGCGGGATCTCACAGGTGACGAAGCTGGGATTCTTATCAGGATGTATGTGAAGTTTTAATGAGTGTGTTCGCAAACTCATTGGTCCCCCGTCGGTAAAACAAGATCAACCTTTCCCTCCCCATTTACAGCTTCTCAGATTTATCTCTATTGATATATCAGTGTCTTCAGCCATTTGGATAATTTTGAAATATTAATATATATATCTTAATTATTTAATTAATGACAAAAAACATTAATTAAAATATATATTCTTGTTAAGACCCCACATTCATTCTCTTAAATATTTTATCTTTTACACAAAAATATCTCTGAAATATATCATTTGTCGTTACTGAAACGATAAGTAATAACAAGAAAAAAGTTTATAAGTTTATAAAGTATCAAATATTACATAGTAACTAAGTATCTCATAGATTTTAATTTCATTTCAACCACAGTAGTGTCAAACGTTTTCAATGTTAAGATCTTTTTTGTCTTTTTTTCCCGTCATGATTTAATTTTATTTGAACATTCTATATGAATCGTTAATTACACTCTCCAAAATAATCAACATTGTTTTTATATAGTATCAAATATATTTTGAACATCCCGAAAAATAAAACTCCGTCTCTCCAGCTTTTATGAGCATCAATCAATTAATATTCAATTTAAAGTCTCTATTCTTCATTACTTGATAAGAAATCAGTGATTTTATGTTAATTAGATTAAGTATGACCGTTGTGCGTGATACACGTGGTAATAACACTACAAAGTATCGGAAGTGATAACCAGGGCAGTAGCGAACCTATGGAATAAAACATTTAAAAAATAATATTATAAAATATGACTTCTAACCAACATCGACTATTGTAATAAACAAAAGACAAATTGTTTAAAACAAATCTGACAAAAATTTTGATGATTTTAATAGCTGTCTTTAATGGGTAGCAAATAAAGAGAACATTAAGCACATGAATTCAGTCCGGTTACATTTATTGGCGCAACATCGATGTCTAGTCGGAAATGTAATGACCTTGCTGACAGCTAAGTTTCCACAAGTTCCACTGTACGTTATTTCATAATAGTACATAATATATATTGCTATCAGAAAACAACAACGAAATAACACCACTGATCTGATCGTAATCTGCAATCAATATTTTTTTCTGACTGATAATATTACCCATCAGCATAGTAATGGTTGCCGTTTAAATGTACCTAAATGATTAAAAAAAAGGAATATCGACAATTTAATTCTTAGAAATCATGAATATTCGTGGGGTCCTATTTAATGGATACTCCTTGAATTCATGTCTACGAAATGTTGAAATATGTATTGAGCTATAAAAACAACCAAGAATATACCAAAATGTCAACAAAATTATAAGCCGAACTCAAAGCATGGGGCAAAGTAGGAATAAAAGAAAGATTAACACGAACTCCTGAAAAAGCACAAGGGGAACAAGACCAGGTGTTCTGGAAGAGTAAATGTCTTCTGCTTTATCGACGTTACACGCCATGTCAATCTTGGTCAATCCAAGTAAGTAATGTTGCGTTCTAAAATGAGAGCAAGATATAAAACAACGGAACCAACAGGCAAACCAACGAGCATCAAACAAATATCAAATATCCATCAAATGCTGAAAGTTCTTGAAAATTATACCTCACGAACTTTTATCATTTTATTATAAATCCTATTTCTGAAGTAGTTTACTATCTCTTACAAATTCAGAATTTTGTTTCCTAGAAGGCGACGTAGTAAAATATGTTGAAATATTAGAAATTAACCAAAACGCATGCCAAGTCTTCAGCCAACGTTTTTATCAAGACACCTTATTAGATATTTACTTTGACCCCTTCGATAGAAGGAAGCTCTTTTGAAAATAGCAAATAAGATTAAATAAGTAAAGTTAGTCCAAGCACTGGTCAGGGATTGTGTGGGCTAACTAAAAGTAACTTAATTCTTCGATTTTCTAAAACCAATAAATAAAATTAATATTTCGATCCTGTTGATAAAAATAGATCATTTAATGCATTTATACTAATTGTTGGTGGATATTTCGTGGATAAAGAGTTACGAATACCCATCATATCATTGATTATTAATCTCCTATTATTGACAGTACATTATCATTTATACATTTATTCTGGTATTTCATGTCAAGTTCATCACACCACTGGTACTATAATTGATGGTCATCATACCATAAGGTTGTGTTGTGTTATGACGGAATACTATTAACAGCTTATCCTGCTTATTCTGATGATAATACTCAGAGTTTATACAAAAATGGTAGATGAAAAAGAATTGCGTTTAAATTTATTTATTATCCACATATTTGCACTACTAAAACACCAAGAAACTTCCAACATGTCAACATCATCATAATCCAAACTTACATTCCATAAAACTAAAGCAAAATATAAACAAAAGAAATTTTTTTATGGGAAAAGTTCATGGAGAATAAGACCACGCGTTTGGAAGAGGAAGCGTAATCTGTTCCATCGACTCAGTAAGAAAATCACACTAAAATAGCGAATTCATTGCATTTCCGTTTTATATTTTGCGGTAAAATACCTAAACAAAAATCAAAGCTGATGATCAGAATGAATGTTTAGTTTTATAATCGATTCCGACGATAAGGATGAGGGCGATGAAACTTCAGCAGGCTGTTATTTACCATGTGGAAAAGTATATCATGTTGACTTTATGTTTGTGAGCATAAATCTGCCGTTGGTGATAAAATACTGTTACAAGTCTTCAATATCAATTAGGTGCTATCAAATGGACTAATGAATTGCAAAAGGAATCATAACAAAAATTCGTCTTTATTATGAGCTTTCGTTTTCACCATTTTACCAATGAATGGTAGATCCATGTTAAGTATAGTACACATAAGCTTTCATAGTTATTGTGTAATGTCACAGCTGTGTTAGTGACATATAAAGGTAAGTAGCAATGTGGCTGTCAAGGTTTATTAACAAGGAAAGTATTCAAGCATAACGGGTTTTTTTTCTTATTTGAAATTGAAATGATTAAGTCTTTGTGTTTTTTACGTTGACCTGCACGATCTGGGTTAACAACTATTAAATGTTTGTTTCGTTAATCAAGATTATTCTAAGAAAAACATTCAGTTACTTAAGTAGATCATAGATACCGCAATGACGTAAGATAGTCAAGTGAGGTTTAGTATGAATGATGGTGAAACAACAGACAATTTGTTAATTCCAGACTCATAAAGAAGAAAAGTAATAAATCTCGTGGATTCATTACAAAATCTGTGGGAAGGAATCAAACGATATTGTTCCCATCATCACTTCCGACATGTATTCAGGTCTGCAATGTGTCCCTGCATTGTAGATAAGCATATCTATGGTTGTTTGTAACGCCTAATTTCCCTCCTCAGTCTACAGAACATGTACAACGCTGATGCCACACAATCTGTAGTGTAAGTGAAGGTTTACTGAGATTTGCAGCTTTATTTTTTTCTGTTTATATCAACCAAAGGTAATTTTTTATTTTAATTACCTCCAAAAACACAAGATGGCGTGTATGTTGCCGTCCGCATCTTTTAACTCGTCACCTCAAACACCACCAATAGAAACTTTCCCGAGCTCAAAGTATTGTCAGTATTAAGGAATATAATTCCTAAATAAATTTACAATGTTGATTTCAATATCTAAAATGTCATTATGTCCTTCCAATCCCTTTTGAAAACAGCGACATAAACTAAATGTTATTACAGAAGTTTGTATCATCATATTCGAATCATAATATCATTTATTCTATATGAAGCTGACAGATCGTAATCGATTATGTCTGCAAATGTTATTCAAAACACTCTTTTGCCGAGACTCAGATGTAGGACCCTAGATGAAGATACGTTTATGAACACATGCCGGAATTCGTCATTTATCACTTACTAACATCTGCGATGAGGGCTGGGGTTATCTCCCTTTAATCGCCCCCTAGTGACCGTCGCCCCCCACACAGGAGAGTTAATTAGGCAGAGTGGTCTACCGCGAGACCAGAAACAATTAGGTCACTATATTCCTTCTGCATCTGTAATGGTTATGCACCGGTTGGTCGGGAAATAAATATACAATTTACATCCCACTTAAAACCTTTTTGCCTTACAGTTTTTAGTACAAACAAGTTTCTTTATGAAGATAGTATTTTTGCACCGAATAAGTTTTTTTCTGCAAAATACTGCAAACACAGCTTTTAATATATGTAAACATCATTTTAATCTATTATAAACAACTGATGATAATTATCATTATATATAATAGCTTTCTGTATATCCAACTTTGATATATTCTAACTTTGTTTATTTAAAGAAAACACGCAGAAGCATTTTTTTCATAAACGAAAACAAACTTTTTCTACCGATTACTTCATTACATTGTAATTAACAGCTTCATTTCCCCAGTTTTTGACAGCAATATGTAATTACACGAAAGGATATGGGCTAAGGAGATTTACAATCATCAGAATGATAAATATCTCCCATCATCTTCTGACAAACTTTTCATCATCAAGATAATATTCATAGTTTGTACGTATTTTTATAAGTAGTAATGAATAGTGTAGTAATGAAATATATCCGCCCTATAGTGTTCAATATTGTCGTTGATATTACGTATTAATTATAAAATATATTACATTGTTTTTCTCATCAAACTATTAGTATATCAACGTAGGTAAAGCATGAACCTGGAAAATCCCACGCGGTGGGGACAGGTGGCCCTTAACATTTCACTTCCGATCGGGAACTCAAACCTCGACCCCAAGGTTTAAGGGAAGTGCGTTATGTTGTTGAAAACATTCAAGTGTT